TCTCTTACTTGCTTTATTCTATTCTTCAAATTTATTTATTATTAAGGAGAAGGAGAGAAGAAAAAGAGAAAAAAAGAGAATGTTCATCTATTCATTCTAGAGAGTTTAGTAGGAGAGAGGCTTCAACACATCACATTTTAATCGATGACGTGGGATTGAAACTATGAGATTCCTATTCCTTTTATTCGAAAAAAAGTTTTACGGAAAAAATAAGCCATGCAATTTTTGCCATTCGTTTTTGTAGGAAACGTAAAAATTTGGCAGAAAAAAGCGTAACTTTATCCTGCGAAATATTAATCTTAAGTTGAAGACTGGGACTTCAGATTAGGATTCAGTGTATTGTCTCTACAAAATTCAATACCTTTTTCGCGAATAACGCAGATTCGAAAACTTCATTTAGATGGATTTATCCAATCCGTTCTTGTTTGCTGGGAATAATTGAAAATCGTGTCAATCCCTCAATGAATTAACAAACTCAGTACACATGCGCACCGCATTATTGAAGCGACAAAATTAAAAAATAAAGTTTACCTTCTAGATAGCCCTCGTAATTTTAATCTCGATTCAATTAACTCTTTAATCAACTCTTCACCTTTTTTTAGATAGAAAATAATATTAATAAAATAATATTAATTAGAAAATAATTTTAATTAGAAAAGAATGAAAAGTAAATTGTGTGCGCGCGCGCGCGTGTGTGTGTGTGTGTGTGTGTGTGTGTGTGTGTGTGTGTGAACCAAGATTAAAATTAATCTACATTGATAGAAATAGGCATTAAATGTTTCAGGATTCGAGATTTAATCGCGAAATTGACGCTTTAACGGGATACCGCACGCGTGCCTTGCTGTGCATGCCTATTAAAGATTGCAATGGTGATGTAATCGGAGTGGCACAGGTGATCAACAAGCTTGGCGGCGAAGGACAATTTACTGCGCAAGATGAAAAGGTTTTCGCTGGTTATTTACAATTCTGTGGTATCGGTTTAAGAAATGCTCAACTTTATGAAAAGAGCCAATTAGAGGTGAAGAGAAATCAGGTAAATATTAATTTCGTCGAATCGAAATGATGACAAGAGGGATCTAATTTGTTTTAATATTAACATCAGGTTTTATTGGATTTGGCTAGAATGATTTTCGAGGAACAAAGTACGATAGAGCACATGGTTTTTAGAATTCTCACGCATACGCAATCATTGATTCAATGCCAACGTGTTCAGGTAATTGACATAAACGAACGTCGTGAGAAGAATGCAATTACACAAGCAAAAAGACGCTGACTGGTGAAAAGTCGGTTGGGGAATAAAATTTATCTCCATCAGATCCCCATCCATTTTTCATTAATTCAGTATCAAAGTGCTGTTGTTTGAAAATCCGGGTTTATCATTATGGTATCCGTCCTTCATTACAATGTCATGATTGTTTTCAGGTGTTGCTCGTGCACAAAGCTTCAAAGGGAAGTTTCTCGCGCGTTTTTGATTTCGAAGCGAATGATCTCGCTGGCGAGGATTCTGATTCTCGCACTAGGTAAATCATGTTTATAATTACGGCTAGGTTTTTTCGATAAGTTTATTCTATTTATTTAATTAAATCCTTTTATTGCAGTCCTTTCGAGAGTAGATTTCCCATTAATGTTGGTATTACGGGTTATGTAGCAACTACCGGTGAAGTAAGTACCGCTCATTAATAATAATTTCTTGTAAAGCATTAGCGCTCGAGACGATCTAAAAGATTTTTCAGACAGTCAATATATTGAATGCTTACGAAGATCCGAGATTCGATCCACTGGTGGACGATGGTACCGGTTTTAAGCATCGAACAATTCTTTGTATGGCCATCAAGAATTCATCCGGTCAAATAATAGGCGTCATTCAACTAATTAATAAATTCGATGATCTTCCTTTTACAAAGAACGATGAAAATTTTGTTGAAGCGTTTGCGATCTTCTGCGGAATGGGAATTCATAATACGCACATGTGAGTATACTTGTGTATCTTGTCTATCTCTAATACTCGACTTAATTTATCGGATCTTCAGGTATGAAAAAGCTATAATAGCGATGGCAAAACAAAGCGTCACTTTAGAAGTACTGAGTTACCATGCATCAGCATCATTGGAGGACGCACAAAGATTGAAGGTTGGTGTACTTCAGCTTCACACTATATTTCAACTACATATAATATTTAAACCATTAATTAAATACGTTTATCATGTATTCTCTGTCTCGACAGAATTTAAGAGTCCCGTCATCAGCGCATTTTCAATTGCACGATTTCAAGTTTGATGATATACATATGGAAGATGGCGACACTCTTACTGCGTGTCTTAGAATGTTTCTCGATTTGGACTTTGTTGAACGATTTCACATCGATTATGACATACTTTGTCGTTGGTTATTGAGCGTAAAGAAAAACTATCGGAATGTTACATATCATAATTGGCGGCATGCTTTTAACGTAGCCCAAATGATGTTTGCTATTTTAACGGTGAGCTTTTTTTTATCGATCATAACATAGATTGTAATTTGTGAAATGAGAATTGTAATCATTTTTAGGCTACGCAATGGTGGAAAATCTTTGGTGAAATTGAATGTCTTGCCCTCATCATTGCCTGTTTGTGTCATGATCTCGATCATCGTGGAACAAACAATTCTTTTCAAATTAAGTGAGCACTTATATTTACTTTCGCATTTATGAGAATTTGGCACTTGACATTAAAAAAAAGATTTTTTAATATGTATTCAATTAAGATCAGTTTGTAACTGTTTGTACTTTAAAAGATTCAAAATTATAAACTCATACAGCACAGAATGTTGAAAAAATGTTGCTGAAATATTGCAATGTTGGATCATTCATCAATGTTGGATTCAACAATGGAAATATTGTATTGTTGAAGTATCAATATTTTATCAATGTTGTATCCATATTGATGATCTTTCTACATTAATTGTTAATATTGCTGCAACGTTGAAATTACATTGAATTACACTGAACAAATTATATATCAAAATCTATTTAATTTTGTAAAAAATGAACAATAATAAAATATCATGTAAATAGAAAATTTAAGTCACTTTAATCGATCTTTTAACTTATTTAACTAGAAATTTGTTATACTTGTATATATGTTTATATGGGAATCGACTGTGCGTACAGAATGCTTATGTAATATTGTTTTTGTTTGATCAATCCAATACGCAACGTTGACTAGTAATCTTTCTATTATATTATCTGTATGTCAAAATTTTATACATTCAATGTTTGTGGATCATCGAAGCAGCAGTTCCCATATAATCGCAGAGATTAAGCACCGTTGAATCAGGTATAAGATTGGATTGGTTTCCGTTAGGAAAATAAGGAAATCTAAAAAAATTTTTTAAAAAAAGAAAAAATACGAGAAGTGCATAAAAAAGATATTGAATACATTTTTCTTAATTAAAAACGGATATGAAATACATGTAACTAGCCAAATATTTCATTACGCGAGACACATAAGATAGACTGAAAATGACTAAAATTGTTAAATATTAATATAAAATTGTCAATGAATTATTGTGAAGAAAAAATTATTGTCGTCTCTTTCTCTCTCTCTCTCTCTCTCGCTCTCTCTCTCGCTCTTTCTTTATCTATCTGTCTCATGTAAATTATATCCGTATGCGCATCAAGATTCACGTTCGTTACTAATTTTATTTTAATTTTACATTAAAATTAAAATTGTATGAAGGGATTATGAAAAGCAGCTTAACAAAATACTTTATATGTATCACACGTACGATTTGAAAAGCTGAAATGCTCTCTTCGGGACACGATTTTCAGATCTCGATATTGGCTGTACGAATTTTATTCGAATTGGATGCAATCGAAAGATACCAATGACATTATATAATAAAAGTATTTTTAGATTTTTGATTGCGATTTTAATTTCTTTATATAAAGTTTGTTGATGTCAAAACTCTAAATAAAGCTAGTAGTAGTGTCTCGAATTTGCCAGCGGCACGAACATATACGCAATGGCACGTTAAACGGTCAAGCGACCCATTTTATATTTTTATGCACTTGGCATTGCGACGTTACCGCGTCACTTAATTAATTTCCAATTGAGAGGGAAAGTTTTTTTTTCAATTATAATTTTGTCATTCGTATTCTAGAATATATTAATCAATAATACTTTCATTTTTTAATAATAAAACTGAATTAATTAATGAAAAATATTTTACGTTTCACAAACATTCAATTCAACGCATGTTTCTATAACGTCATTTTAACATTGACTATACATTTTGCGATTTTGTTGTAATTTTCGCAATGTTGCAATTCAACGTTTCTGAGATATTGATTCAAAATTAGTGTGCTGAGAAAGGATTGAAAAAAATACTAATAACTTTGAGATACCTTGAGATTTAAATCTGCAAGAGGACGTTCCGAAATCATCCTGTACCATCAGAGGAAGAAGATTGTCACAAATAGAAATAAACCGAGCTTAATTTAATACGTATTAAAAAATTTCTTTTCTTAATGTTGGGTATACCGGGTTGACATACGCATTTATATTCGTTATCACGAATAGTTTTATATCCATATGAGATACTTCTTCATTTTTTAGAGCTTCATCACCGTTGGCACAGTTGTATTCAACTTCAACGATGGAACATCATCACTTTGATCAGTGTCTGATGATTTTGAGCAGCCAGGGCAATCAAATCCTATCAAATCTTTCACCAGAAGAATATTCGCGCGTGGTAAAGGTTCTTGAAGAAGCGATACTTTCTACTGATCTGGCAGTTTACTTCAGAAAGCGTGGCGCTTTTCTTAATTTAGCACGCAGTGGTGGCTATAACTGGGCATTTGGTGATCATCGAGAGCTTCTACGCGGGATGTTGATGACAGTCTGTGATTTAGCCGCCATTACGAAACCATGGGAGGTTGAAAAGAGGGTAGCCGAACTCGTTAGTAGCGAGTTTTTCGAACAGGGTGACATAGAAAGGCGAACACTCAATATTACACCTATTGTGAGTAGCATGAGTAGCAGTTAGAAGTGTGCGAATCAAGCATTTGCAAGGTCGAATCAAATCGAATCGAATCTAATCTGATATCTTTACGTCGAATCGAATCAAATCCTTCTGATTCGAAAACGAATCGAATTCGAATCAAATTTTAACATACTGACAGCTAAAAAAACTTAAAAGCTGAAAAAATTCATTTTGAATATACATATCAAAAAATTGATAATGTGACAAATGTATTAAAAATAATACTTTTTAGCAATAATATTTGCACTCTGAAAATGACTCATCATTTTTTCATTTATTTAAAGATATCTGGACCGTCATTGAAAATATTTCATTATTTTTTAAATTAGCTTTTAGTTATAGTCTGCTTCTAGTACATAAAATATCATATTATAACATAATAATAATTGACAAAGAGATTAGAGATTTAAATCATATGGGTAAAAGTAAACAAATAATAATCGCGATTATAATATATTGTTTTAAAGGAACTAGTGACAATTTATTCTGCATTGAGAAAAATGTTTAATACATATAACCATCTATTTTGTTGATATGTAATTGATGTGATATGTGAAAAACTTTCTTACTCTTCTTTTATTTCTCATATTATCTCATATAGAAATTGTGTCGTGCTACCTAAAATTATTTTTGTTATTTCAATCGAACTTATTGTTCTAATCAGAATTAGATTGTTGTAAGTTTTAAGACAACATAATTTTTTAATGAATAAGTAAGAAAATTTTTGTTATTACACGTCAACAAAATAAATGGTTATACGTACAAAACATTTCTTTCAGTGTTTCGAAACTTAATTTAAAGCCATAAATTGTTGTGCTAAATTTGTACTTTTATTTTAGACTATTTCATTAGTTTAAACAAAATAAATAGTATTTCAAAAAATGAATAGCATTTTCTTCACGATGTAAGCCAATAAGCGCACGTGCTTGCACGAAGATTGATAAGCGCTGATACAAGATTGGTCGCAGGAAATATAGAAGAGAGAGAGAGAGAGAGAGAGAGAGAGAGAGAGAGAGAGAGAGAGAGAGAG